CTGTGGTAAATTGACTAGTGTGTTCGTTGGGTTCTTATTCAAGGGTTCTTAGCTTAATACAAAGTACTCAACACTTCAAAGAATTAGGCATTGTAGCCGACAACTTTGTTGATAGGATGCTTGGGATTTGATACAGGAACTACATACTTATGCTTCGTCCTATGGTAGTGGTCTTGTTCGTTAATGTTGGTTACTTATCCTTTGTTAGGTTTCACATTCATTAGCTCAATTAGGGTTTTAATGTTCTCTTATACAAGAAGATGTTTGGTTCAATCCAAGCCTATCCAGAGCCTTGTTTTTTTTATTGAAAAGTGCTGTTTTAGGGTGTATTACTCGGCTTCTTCTGCTCTTCTTTTGGAAGATCATGTGTTTGAGGATAGTCTCATGATTGAAACTAATGCAGTTGATAGATCCAATGGTCCAAGGATGAAGTTTGGTGCTCAGAAGAAGACGTGTAATGTTCCTAAAACGCATAAGTTATGCTGCCTAGTTGTGAGACTTTGCAAGTCTTTAAGTTGGGAAGTTGCCCGGGAAATAAGATTTTCTAGAGCTGTAAGGAGGCATGATTGGATTGATTCGATTAATGCATTCAGAATCATTGTTCAAGTGTTTGCATCGGCAGGAATGCAAATGGAAGTACATTCTTTGCTTAGAGACATTGTTTTGTACTATAGAGAAGCCAATTTGAATTTGTATGACTTATTTCCTATTTTATTGGATTCATACGAGCATGTTGAAAGATCTGCTATTGTGTCTGATATGCTTATGAGAACGTTTGCATCAAACTCAATGCTAGAGAATGCCATGGATGTATTTCTACAAGCTAAGAAAACAGGGTTTGAATTAAGAATTTGTTCATGCAATTTTTTGCTCAAGTGCTTGGTAGAAGCAAGCAGAGTGAAACTTGTCAAGAGTTTATTTAAGGACATGAAGAATTCTGGGCCATCCCCCAACGTTTACACATATACAATTATGATGAACTTTTATTGCAAAGGATGTCATGAGCAGGAAATAGATATCAAACAAGCAACTGAGATTCTAGAAGATATGGAGAATAATGGAGAAAACCCGACTGTTGTAACATATGGTACATATATCGATGGACTAAGTAGAGCTGGTTGTGTTGAAATTGCCTTGGAATTTATTCAGAATTTGAAATCTGAAAACAAACCTCTCAATTCTTATTGCTATAATGCCATTATCTATGGCTATTGTCAAAAAAGTGAAGTGTATGAAGCTTTGAAGGTTTTGGAAGAAATGAAGAGCCAAGGAATATCACCAGATATTTATAGTTACAGCCCTTTGGTTGATGGATTTTGCAAGAAAGGGGATGTTGAGAAAGGTCTCAATTTGATTGAGGAGATGATGCATTTTAGTATAAAGCCTTCTCTTTGTACGTATAGTTCACTCTTTATCGGTCTTTGTAAGAGTGGAATGAAGGAAATTTCACTAGAAATTTTTCGTAACCTTGGTGCTTCAGGTTATGAGTATGACCAGACGTCTTATAACCACTTAATAATTGGGTTCTGCATTCAGGGAGATCTGATATCTGCCATAAACCTGTTGGAGGAGATGATCACCAGTGGTTTGGTTCCAAACATTTATAGTTTTGCTTGGCTGGTTCATGGATTTTGTAAGATGGGGTTCTTAGACAAAGCACTGGAGCTTTTCTGTGTCATGCAGCAAACTGGTGTCTTGCCAAATACTTTCACCTTTAATGTTATAGTTGATAGATATTGCAAAGATGGGCACTTAAAGAAAGCATTAGAACTGCTTAAGTTTATGCAAGACCTTGGGGTTATTCCTAATTCATATACGTACAGTTCAGTCATCAATAATTTGTGCAAAAGAAGAAAATTGGAAAAAGCATTTGAACTTCTTCCTTTAATGCTTAAGAAGAATGTACTTCATGGTGTTCATTGTTCCACTCTTTTGTATGAATTCGCTAGACAGTCAAGTCCAAGGAAGGTTTTGAAGTTGTATGCAAGAATGTTTAAACTTGGGGTTACAGAAAGCACAGTTACATATACAATTCTTATCAACGTGTTCTCTCAAAGGGGCAAAATGTCTGAAGCGTACAGTTTATTTAAAGAAATGATTGAAAAGGGATTGACACCAGATAGTATTTGTTATACATCTGTTATAGCTGGATTTTGTAGAATTGGTGATATGAAGAGGGCTTGGGCTTTGTTTGATGAAATGTTGCGAAAAGGCCATTCACCCACTGCTGTCACATACACATGTTTAATTGATGGATTTTGCAAGTTACGGCGCTTGGATATGGCTCATTCGTTGATTGATGAAATGGAAAAAAACAAAATTACTCCTGATGTAGTTACTTATACTTCTCTCATTGCTGGGTACCCAAGGACCTTGGAAATGTTGATAAAGCCTATGAGCTGTTTTACGAAATGAAACAGAATGGTATCTCTCCAGACTATGTTGCGTATAAGGTATTAGGGGAAAATGCCTGTCATAACTGGCCAAGTAATATGATCATTGATTTGGAATATTGGTGGATTATTATTTCCTTCATCCTAAAGTGGAGAATCACACTTGTTCTCTTTGCCACATAAGTACCCATCACAAAAGGTCACAGAAGCAGGTAGACTCCTCTTTATACATTAAATTTCAAGGAATTAAAAATATTCTCTTAGAAAAGTTCTAGTTTCTATTTTTCTAATTCATATTTCTCTTAGCAAAATATTCTCTCTGATGAATACTATTCGCCTTTCAAATAGAAAGTCACATTTTTATGGTCTTGTTTTGTCATCCGGTTTTCATTTCGTTTTTTCAGTCTCTTTCATGTTTATTTGCTTCTCATTATTTCATTTGTTTATTACTAAAGTTCTTTTTTTTTAATGTTCATGTTATAACCACTATTTAGGGGATCTAGTAATGGGTGTAAAAAGGGTAAAATCAGATTGAAGGCTGGAGTTAGATGCTTTCTTTGTTTATTATCTATGGTTGGAAACGAGAAATGGACTCATTCGAGAGAACCCACATTCTGTAGATATACCTAGTAACAAGAAGAAAATAAAACTACCCACTACATGCGTGACCACCCACAGTAAAACTACCTAAAATGCAAGTAATTGAAACTGAACAGAACATAGAAAACTGAAATAAGCTTCTTGGAAAACGAAATAAACTTGCTAGTGTTGTGGACTTCACTGATTTAAGAGTCCATAACATCACTTTCCCTCTTTAAAAGGGAGCTTGTCCTTAAGTGCTACAGTTGGATAAAAACCTTTGCTTATGGTCTTGCGCACTACAATGTGCCATGTTCTTTATAACTTGTAGCAAAAATATTTACATTGGTGATCCAAAGCATATTGCTAATCACTATTTCTGTAGAGGGAGGCCCTTTAAAGAAATCCTTTCCATCTTTGTATTTAGATGCTTAACCATGTGTAACCAAGATGAACTGCTGGCAAGTAAATGACTTTCTGCATACCTTTGTCAGTAAACCCTTTAAGGTTTATCGTCAACGTGGGAAGAAGAACAGTGTCAGTTGGTAATGGAACAAAATCTGTTGAAACTGTTATGGTTATTTCAGTTGAATGACATTAGTTAGTAGCTGAACAGGATCTGTTGGATCTGTTGTAACTGTTAGCAAGTTGTTAGGTATAAGTCAACTATAAATAAGCTGTAGGAGAAGATTGATGATAATTTTTGGCAGACTTAATAATATAACATACTTTCTCTTTCTTTTTCTCTCTCTCTCAACTTAGTTCTATTCTCTCCCTCCACATCTTAACTTCTTTTCTCACCTATATCAGTCATAAAACTAGATTACTATTGACAAGTCAGAGTTCATGTCTAGAGCTCCTGACAAAGTGGAATTAGAGCTGTTTGATTCAGAAGAAACCAAAGCCAAGTTGATGCCAATGACCCAACCCCAGCTTAATCCAGCAGATAAGTGTATTCTGCCAAAGTCAGAGGTGCGAGAAACTGGAGGAAGCAGCAATAGCAAGCAATATCTAGTTGAAAATTTGAGTTTGGTACCTAAGATTGAAATTCTAGTCTTTGACAGTACAAATCTGTAGAAAATATAATAATTAGAAGAATAAATTAGGATTAAAAATGCTTATTTACAACTGTTATGTGTTGTAAATGGAGGAACCATTTACAGCTGTTATGTGCTGTAAATGGAGAGAATCACCAATAAATTTGTTACAACAAATTTGTCCTTAGAAACAGAATTTTGTTAGATTTCTCTCCAGAATTTGTTAGGTTGTTAGGGTAGTAGACTTGTATATATATGTGTGGAAATCATTCATAAAAAAATGAAGAATATTTTCTCTCAATTTCTTCATAGTATCAGAGCAATACCTGATCCAAAAAGAAATTGATATCAAACCCTGCTGAGCCGTAATAAAAAATGGCATCGGGTGAGCTTCCATCCTCTCCACTAAAAGTTTCCTCTGGTTCTTATCATCACACAGCAACAATCAGAGCTGTGAGTGAACTACCATCATCCTGTATCACAGGACATAAACTCGATGGCAGCAACTTCCTTCAATGGTCGTCGTTTGTCCGTCTCTTCATCCGCGGAAGGGGGCGTTATGGGCACCTCACTGGCGAGCTCATGCCTCCTCCAGCATCCAATGCAAATGCACAAACCTGGGAGATCGAAGACAATATGGTCATGTCCTGGCTCATTACCTCAATGACTCCTGAAATCGGAGAGAATTTCCTTCTCTACGAAACTGCTCATGAAATCTGGAAGGCAGCACAGGAACTCTACTCCAGCAAGCAAAATACCTCTGCAATATTCGAAATCGAGTCAACTCTTCATGACCTTCGACAAGGAGAACTCAGTCTCACCCAGTATTACAGTATCCTTAGTCGAAATTGGCAACAGATGGACGCCTTCGAAGAGCATCACTGAAACTGCCCCGAGGACGCGAAAAACTTCAAAATCTTTGTGGAAGAAAAACGAGTCTTCAAATTCCTGCTAGGGCTAAACAAAAATCTCGACACTATTCGGGGACGTGTTCTGAGCACCAAACCCTTACCGAGTCTTCGAGAAGTTTTGTCTGAGGTTCGATGCGAGGAGAGTCGTCGGGAGATCATGATGGGAGAGAATGACCAACCTCACCAGACTGAAAATTCTTCAACTTTCACAACCCGAGCGATTGACAGTCGAACGAAGAAGACAAGGCCCTGGTGCAACCACTGTCGGAAGCTAGGGCGCACTCAGGAACGTTGCTGGAAGCTTCACGGCAAGCCAAGTGACTGGAAACCACCTTCGGGTAAGTGGAAATGTCGAAAGCAGAGACCTCCAGCAATCTTCGAGGAAATCACATGACGGCTGAGGAAGTAATTTTTGATGAGATGAGAAAAGACTCATTTACCCCTGAACAGTTGGAAGCCCTCTAACAAATCTTGTCTAAGAAATCTCACCTGGTCAGTGCCTCTGTGGCACACAAAGGTAATATTCATAGTTTATCTGCTCTTTTAGAAAAAGGACAGGTGTGGGTGGTAGACTCTGAAACATCTGATTATATGAGTGACGATTTCTCAATGTTCCAAAATTACAGAAGATGTGAAGAAAATATTTCAATCAGAATTGTAGATGGTTCTCTCTCAAAAGTGGCAGGAATGAGCTCTGTAAATTTGTCTCCAAATTTGACTCTGTTCAGTTCTCCATGTTCTGAATTTGGATTGTAATTTGTTGGTTGTCAGCAAGCTATGTGAAGATTTGAAATGTGCTGCGAAATTTGTTTCTAATATGTGTAATTTCCAGGATTTGGACTCGGGGAGGACGATTGGTGGTGCTAGGATGAGCTCGAGATTATATTTGTTTCAAGTCAACACCTCTAAAAGACAAGTTCACAATGCAGTATGTGAAAACTCTGTTCTTATTTCCAAAAATAATGATCATGATATTATGTTGTGGCACTATAGAGTAGGACATCCAAACTTCATGTACAAAAAAAGGATGTTTCCACTACTATTTGAAGGAAAAGATCCAGTTTCATTACAGTGTGATGTTTGCCAATTTTCTAAACATACTTGAAGTTCATTCCATAGTCTACCATATAAACCATCTAAACCATTTGCATTAATTCACAGTGATGTTTGGGGCCCTTTCAGGGTTTCCAACGTCTCCGGAACTAGGTGTTTTGTATCTTTTATTGATGACCATATAAGAATTACTTGGGTATTTCTCATGAAGGAAAATTCTGAAGTGGGATCCCTATTTAAAAAATTTCATACAATGATTCAAACCCAATTTCATGCTACCATCCAAGTATTGAAATCCGACAATACTTGTGAATATTTTTAAAATACTCTTGAAAAACACTTTACTGAACATGGCAATATTCATCAAACCTCCTGCATTCATACTCCACAGCAAAACGGCATAGCCGAAAGAAAAAACAGACATTCTTGAGGTTGCTAAATCTCTCATGTTCACCACACATGTACCAAAATATCTTTGGGGAGAGGCTGTCCTTACAGCTACCTATTTGATTAATTGGATGCCTTCCCGTATTTTACAGTTTCAATCATCATACACTATTCTCTCAAAAATCTTTCATGATTCTCACATCTTAAACACTTTGCCACTTAAAGTATTTGGGTGTTTAGCATATGTCCACATTCATAAACATCTTCGTGGAAAATTAGATCCAAGAGCAATAAAGTGTATTTTTGTTGGGTACTCTGCAAATAAAAAAGGATACAAATGTCTAGTTCCAGAAACCTGCCGATTTTATAATACCATGGACGTCACCTTTTTTGAGAATCAACCATTTTATCCCATCACTGATATTTAGGGGGAGACATTCACTCAGGAATATCAGTTGTGGGATGTGTGTGTACCACTTCTCTACCCACAAACCAGACAAACCTTCCTTGGAGATTGAACCCGAAATCTCACAAAAGAAATCAGAACCAAAACCTGTTATAGAAAGCACATTACCTGCAACGAGTGAATTACGTGTCTATACAAGAAGAAACAAAGGAAAAGCACCCGAATTATCCAAGCACTGCCATGAATTCCCCACTAATCCAGGTAACGTAATCTCTGTACTAACTCTTGATTCCGTTGATTATGATATTTCTATTGCTTTGAGGAAGGGCACTCGAACATGCACCAAACATCCTATACAGGACTATGTTTCATTAGACAAATTATCCTCAGAACATCATGTTTTTGTGAGCAGAATAGACAGCAGTTCACCTGAACTCAGAACAATACATAAGGCTTTGGAAATTCCAGAATGGAAGTTAGCTGTCCTAGATAATATCAGGGCACTTGAAAAGAATGAGACATGGGAACTAACTGATCTTCCTCCAGGAAAGCGTCAAGTGGGATGCAAATGGGTTTTTACAACCAAATATAATATAGATGGGAGTGTGAACAGGCTTAAGGCCCGCCTGGTAGCCAAAGGTTATACATAATCATATGGTATAGATTATCAGGAGACGTTTGCACCAGTTGCCAAGCACAATACTATTCGAGTACTCCTTTCACTTGCATCTAACCTTGACTGGTCACTATATTAATTAAATGTAAAGAATGCATTCCTTAATGGCGATTTGGAAGAAGTGTATATGAATATACCACCAGGGTTCGAATTAACTAACAACTCTCAGAAAGTGTATAAATTGAAAAAATCACTCTATGGCCTAAAACAATCTCCAAAAGCATAGTTTGACAGATTCACAAGAGCTGTAAAACATAAAAGATATGAACAATGTCAATCCAACCATACATTGTTCGTCAAACATTGCATATCAGGTAAAAAGACTATTTGAATTGTATATGTTGATGATATCATTCTTACAGGAGATCACTTTGAGAAGATTCAGAAACTTAAAGAATTTTTGTCCAAAGAATTTGAAAAAAAAGATCTTGGAGCACTAAAGTACTTCATCGGTATGGAAGTAGCTAGATCAAAAAATGGGATTTCAGTTTCTCAACGAAAGTACATTCTAGATCTCCTAAAAGAGACTGGGATGCTAGGAAGTAAGCCTGCTGACACCCCTATGGACTCAGTCATCAAACTTGGATCCAGAATCAGTAATAAAATGGTTGACAAAGGGAGATACCAAAGACTTGTTGGGAAACTTATTTACTTGGCTCACACAAGAGCAGACATTAGTTTTGCAGTAAGTACAGTAAGTCAGTTCATGCATCAGCCAACAGAAAATCACATGAGTGCTGTGTATCGGATTTTGAGGTATCTCAAGAAAATTTCAGGATAAGGTTTATTCTTTCAAAAAACAGACAGAAAGGGTGTTGAAATTTACATGAATGCGGATTGGGCAGGTTCTACAAACGACAGAGATATACGTCAGATATTGTACCTATCTTTGGGGTAACCTAGTTACCTGAGAAGCAAGAACAGTCTGTTGTGTCTCGCAGCAGTGCAGAATATGATTTAGAGCTCTCGCTCATGGTATTTGTGAAGGTGTATAGTTGAAGAGAATATTTGAAAAATTAAAAGTTCTCAACAATATGCTGGTGCGACAACCAATCAACAATTAGTAAGGCAAAAAATCCAGTACATCACGATAAAACTAAACATGTGGAGATTGATCATCATTTCATTGGAGAAAAATTGGAAGATGGGACTATAACTCTGATGCATATTTTAACCAATCAACAGATCGCAGATATTCTAAGTAAAACTCTTCCTAAGAAAACCTTTGATGACATAATATCTAATATAGATTTACTCAACATATACGTAAACTAGATTGAAGGGGAATGTAGAAAATATAATAATTAGAAGAATAAATTAGGATTAAAAATGGTTATTTACAACTGTTATGTGCTGTAAATGGAGGAACCATTTACAGCTATTATGTGCTATAAATGGAGAGAATCACCAACAAATTTGTTACAACAAATTTGTCCTTAGAAACAGAATTTTGTTAGGTTTCTCTCCAAAATTTGTTAGGTTGTTAGGGTAGTAGACTTGTATATATATGTGTGGAAATCATTCATCAAAAAATGAAGAATATTTTCTCTCAATTTTCTTCAAAATCCATTTGGCTGGATCAGAAGATACATGAAATACTTTTCAGTGAATGGGACTCCCAATGAGCATTGAGTGGAAACAACATCCATATTTTTGGGAGAAAAGGTGGATGTTTGGTTCTTCAGATGGCAAGCATGGAATGGCCCTGAATAATGGGATCTGTTTGTGGAAGAATTGTGTAGACGATATCCTTGACCAAACCGAAGAGATTTCATTGTAGAGTTCAATAAGCTGGTGCAAGTGAGTTCAGTGATAGAGCATCGGGAGCAACACGAGAATTTAAGGGCCGTGATGATGAGTGATAACCCTACAGTAACTGAAATATACTTTATCTCTAGTTTTGTTAGTGAACTGAAGACTGAAATGAGACCTATGATTAAACTACTTAAACCGCATACTTTAAATCAAGCATTTGAGCAAGCATTGCTGCAAGAACAATCAATAATGGCGATGGTAAAAAGTCAATATTTCTCAGGTACAGGACAATATACTCCTCCTCAGAAATTTGTCCCAAACTCATGCCCAACCAAAAAGGAATACAATATAAAAACAACCAGCAGAATGAGACATATACCAAGAAGAATCCAATCCCTTTTTTCTATGTGGAGAACAAATTTCCTGGGACATCAGTGCAAGGTTAAAACGTTAATGGCCTTGGAAGAAAGTCTGGAACCTGAAGTAGAAAAAGATAATTAGGAGGACGCAATTGCTCGTGAAAAAGAGGATATGGGAAGATTGTCCCTACAAGCAATGGAAGGAATTTCTATTGGAGGAACATTGAAAATCCAAGGGATCATGAAAGAACGGAGGTGATAATCTTACTGGATAGTGGCAGTTCCTACTCGTTTGTTGATGTAAAAATTGCTAAGCTGATGAAAAATAGAGTTGTCAGCAAGAAGGCCTTCACAGTGATTGTGACTACTGGGCAGAAAATTACAAGCAGAAAAGAATGCAAAGGGGTAAAGTGGATCATGCAGAATTATCAAGTCTGTTACGATGTCAAAGTAATTTAATGTGATGTGATTTTGGAGGTAGATTGGATGAAGCAATTTAGTTCCTTAATTTTTGATTTTTTCAATTCAAAAGTCAAAATTCAAATTTAAAGAACCAGAGATTACATTCGATGGCTCCACTGACTCTGATAAATTAATTCCTATAACCAATGGCAGTGTGAAAAAATTGGTACAAGATCAGCAGCAAATAGGAGGAATGTTTTCCGTGTTGTAGGCACTGGTGAAGAAAATGGTGATCAGAATAGGCAAACAGAAGAAAAAAATCTGCCACGGTTGCAACTGGTCAACATAAGGCCCTTGGTGGAGAAAAAAGATGGAACGCGTGGATTTTGCATCGATTACTATGAGCTGAACTCCATTATGGTAAAAGATAAATTTCTGATTCCTATTATTGATGATTTGTTGGATGAATTATGCAGTGTGTCAATCTTTTCTAAAATTGATCTTAGATCTGGATATCATCATATCAAAGACAAAGAATATGATATTCCAAAAACTGCATTTTGCACTCATCATGGCTATTACAAATTCGAAGTAATGCTATTTGGGTTGACAAATGCACTGGCCACTTTCTAGGATCTAATGAATCATGTTTTTCAAGATCAATTAATGAAGTCCAAGCTGGTGTTTTCTAATGACATTCTAATTTATAGTTCAACTATTGATGAACGTTGCAGCCACTTGAGAAGAGTGTTGGAACTGTTAAGGGAACATCAGCTTTTTGCAAAAGATCTAAATGTTCCTTCTTGCAGACAGAAATCAAGTATTTGAACCATTTTATCTCCAGAAATGGAGTAAGAATGGATCCTTAGAAAATTGAAGTTGTGGTGAAATGGCCACAACCCAAAACAGTGAAGGGATCGTGTGGATTTTTGGGGCTAACGGGATATTATCGCAAATTCATCAAAGGGTATGGAGTGATCAGCAAGCCCTCTCTATCAGGCTGAAAAAAGTGGCTTCTTGTGGAGTACAGAAGCAGTTGCAGCTTTTGATAAATTGAAGGAAGTCATGACAACGGCTCTGTTTTAGGGCTACCAGATTTTTCTAAGCCTTTTGTTGGAGAACTGATGCTTGGGGGACATGTAAGGAGTTGTCCTAATGCAAGAAGCTCCTTTGTGCAAGAAATAAGTCTCGGTCCGTGTATGAAAGGGAATCAATGGCAGTATTGCATGCAGTCTCGAAGTGGCAACATTGTTTAGAAGCTGCCTCTTTTATTGTCAAAGCAGATTAAAGGAGTTTGAAATATCTACTGGAAAAAAGACGACTTCAGTGATACAGCAATAAGGTGTAGTCAAATTACGTGGCTTTGACTACTCCATATAATACAAAAAGAAAGAAAGTAATAGTCTATTATTAAGTCTGCCAAAATTTATTCTTGATCTTCTCCTACAGCTTATTTATAGTTGATTTAACAGCTTACGAATAGTTACAACAGATTCTGTTAAGCTACTAACTGATGTCGTTCAACTGCCATAACTGTAATAGTTTCAACAGATTCTGATCAATTACTAACTGATACTGTTCTTCCCACATTGACGGTAAACCTGTTGAACAAAATCTGTTGAAACAGGGTTAAATTTGATTAAAACAAAATAATACGGAGGCGAATTAGGTATTTATGCCGATAATCAATGGAAATCATCACCCCATTATCTTATTTAATAGAATGTTTCTTCATATCTAACACACTACATATTTACCAGTTTTAGTTTATACTTTCTGTTATAGGAAATTGTTAACACGCCATGTCATTCTATGAATGGTCAATATTTCATATTGAACCTACAACAATGCTAATCGTGCAGAGCGAGAAGAAACTTATTGAGTTGTCAGCATGATTCATGAGAAAGAATGAAAAGATTGTTGGTGTCGCCATCTAGAGGTAAGGTACAAGTCTCTTGCAAAACTTGTAAGGCTCTAGACATCAATCACTTTTGGGTACAAACAACAACTGTTATGTATGGGAATGATCTAGTATTACATGAAACTGCAGGTAACAATAGATGGAGGTTTTTGGAGCTTGAAGTGAGGCAGTTAGTGAATCTGAACCTTTATTCAGAAAAGTGCAATACATGAAGAGCTAACATGATATAAATGCAATTAAATCAAATGGTTCATTCACTCTGGATTTTGTGTTGAGGATAATGGTAGTTCACAATTTATCATTTGTCACTTAAAATCAGTTTTCTGCATCACAGTGAAGTATGTTGTAAGAGTCAGCAGTTTGTCACAGGACAGTTAGTTCGAGTCAAGGATGAAATCAGGGAACTGAAGAAACTGGACGGCTAATATGATGTTGGACAAATTATGGTTAATTTTCCTACTAAGAAATCAGGAAAAAAGAACCTAGATATCACTAGGGTTCTTAGGCATCAGGCCTAAGGGTTGATTGATTCATACAATAAATTGGGAGAAATACTAAGAAGTATTATTGAATATTTGAATGATCGATAAGCGAAATTACAAGCTATCATAATAATCTTTTTCCAACTAGAATTAAACTAGGAAATAGTAATATAATAGAATTAGGAATACGAATCCTAATACAAATAGAATATGATACTAATTAAAAAAATAAACTCCTAAATTTATTAAGATTCTTAAATAATAAACTAAAAATACTCCAATAATAAATAAAACCTTATCACGGCTATGCACCATCATAATGAGAAAAATAAAATTCTACCCTGGGGAACAGACTGGAAATTTTCTATGTAAATGGTGTAACAGTTTAGCACTTCGATGGTTGCTTGATGAAGCAACTCTGCCTAGCAAAGAAGAGTTTGTTGCTGTAATTGTTAATTATAATCCTAGTAGTTCATTTAATTTCTCGTGTGTGCATTAACATGATTTAGGATAAATATCTTGTATAGCTTTGTGCCTGAGTGCGTCTTAAAATGTTAAAGATGCTCCTTGAATGGAAGGTTGATGCCTATGCATGCTTGTATACCAGCATTTACAAGGGGAATTGGTTTGCTTTGGTTGATTTCTTGACTTGAATTGCTTTTTATGCATAAAATTTACCCTGATGGCAGACACAAGATGCTAAAACTAGCAGACATTCTTCGTTTCAGTGCTTGTGTCAGTGGAAATGAGCTGTTGATCTTGACATGAGTGAACTTGGGGCAAAAATCATCAGTCTCTTCAGGTTCGCTTCTGATTCTGAACTTACTGTAAACTTACACTGACAAAGATGGTGATGTAGTAGCTCTTGTTGATGATAATGCTTTCTGGATGTAATTAAAAAGTGCCTGAAGTTTTTGAGGATTGGTTGTACAGTTGACTAGTGCCTGGATATAATGCTGATCAGGCTGTGGGTTTCATCTAATAACTATATCATGTCTTGGTCTGTGGCGAAGTTGAAACATTTGAAAAAGATGAAAGTATTCTTGATTATTTTTCACGAATAGAGAAGTTGGTAAATGAGATGAAAAATAATAGAGATCAAATAAAAAAGAGACATGTTATGAAAAAGATCTTACGTACGTTGTCCAGTCGATTTGATTATGTGGTGACAGCCATTGAAAAAATTTGGACACCATGACTCTTAATGATTTATAACCTTCATTAGAGTCATACAATGTGTATGAATAAAAAGGTCTTCGAGCACAATAGAACAAGCTTTAAAGGCTAAAGTAGATTTAAAGAATGAGAAGGAAACACCTAGATCCCAGTATAATCAATGAGGCTCAGATTCAGAAGTAGCAAAGTAGAAAATTTCATAACAACTTTAAGACAAGGAGCAAGAGAGAATCAATATTCTCAAGGTAAATCTCGCATCCAAAGTCATAAATGCAAAACATATGGTCACTATTAATATGAATGCTACTCACATATTTAGTGCTATAATTGGAAAAAATATGATCATTATAGTAGAGAGTGTCATGCAAAGAGACTAGAGCATAAAGATAATCATGCTGGGGTAGCCTAAAATGATAATGTAGAGACTTTGTTGTTGGCAACTCATGAAACTAGTGGAAGGAATAATTATCAATGGGTATTACACTCAAGTTGTAGGAGATTCTAGTCCTTGGCAACATGTCTGATGATTTTTCTTTTCAAATTTAGTTTCTATTTATTTACTGATTTGAATGCATCTGTGTTTGTGTTGGCAGGAAAGAAGACTATGATCTTTGCAATATTTTGTTTGGAAATGGGTAATGAAACTGATTGCTAAAGAATATATAAGCCTGTGCAACTTTGCCATCCTCAGTCTTTCCATATGCAGGAGATTCTTGGACCAAGGCCAAATGAGCCTAAACTGACCATTATAAAGTCAGCGGACGAACTGCCAAAAGAAGAGGAACTGAATTTTACCAAGAAGGTGTGCAGGATGCTTATGTTTTTGCTCCTTGATAGGCTCTCTCCCCCATCTGTTTATGATCCAGTGCCGGATGCTTATTCTTTAGATCCTCAACGGGCCCCTTCATCTTCATCTGCATCATAACCCATCAGTGATCCAACGAAAAAAGCCCCTGTAGATAATTCCAATCCATCTCCTTATCTGGGTATGCCATTGTTATCAGAGGAAATCACTGAAGATATTGTTGCAAAGACCCTGCTTAAAGAACTTGAGGAGATGGATTTCGAGGAGTTTGATTTGAGCAAGGAGTACTGAGGAGCAACGGATACAACTTGGAGCAGTCTGTTGATGCTCTCTGTGGTGTTTCAGAGTGGGATCCCATCCTTGAGGAGCTGCACGAGATGGTAAGCTGTGTTATGCACACTAAGTTACGAGGTGGAGTAAAAATGTATCTGGAGGTTTAAAAAATTCTGAAAACATGGGTTCTGGTGGCAGGGTTTTTGTGATGAAGAAGTCAACAGAATACTGACTGGAGACAATGGGAGCATCAAAGCCATGGCCATGGATCTCCTGTCTGGGAAGAAATCCTAACTAATGGAAGGCTCTTATGGCGGAACTTAGATATATATATATATATATATAAATGAATAAATAGACTTAGACATGATATGATGGTTATTTATCTACTCCAAAACAGGTAGTTTGGTATATGCACGATAGAGAAATAAAAATTTTATATTTGTTATATACATATTTTTTACAAAATAATTTTTAAAAATTTCTACTTTTTTTTTTTTCTAAAACACCAATGATGTCAATTTTAATTAAAAGAAGAATAACAAAAATAATAGCTTATGGTTATAATTCAAGGACGATCCAGACAAAAACAATGGAGTTTATGAACAAAAACTAATAAAATCAAGGTTTACGAAGCTGATGACAGTGGAGCTTCCAAAGATCAAACCTCAAGTGCTCACCGTCCTCATCTTCCTCCTTGCTCAACTTAACGCAATCCTAATAAACAACCAGCACATGGCGGCCCCGGGCAATGTCCTGTAAACCCTACAAATCCAGTTGCAGCTAATCATCTTCCCAATCAACCGCCATCAACCTACCAACCGCTCATCAATAATGCCAAACACCTTTAAAACCCACTAACAATAGAAATGGAGCATCCAGACAATTCACTCGCTTTCTTAACTTGACTGGTCTCGGCCTCCGATTTTGCTCCTTTTTTTTCAATTAAATTAAATGGTGGCAGAGTTTCTGATAAAAATAAAAAATTTGGGAAAACTTTATTTGTTTATTTTTGTGTTAATAATTTAGGTATTTATTTTTCGAGAAAGAAAATGGGAGTAATTTATCAATATGAATAATTTAATATTTTCTTAATTAAATTAAAATTAATATTAATTTTGATTACTACTAAATTTAATTTGTTTATGTAGAATATTTTTTATTATTCTATTTATGAAAAAATTTAATGAAAATAGATTTAACATAAAAGACATTGTATTGTGATTATTGAAGAAGTTTAGTGATACGGTGCGTATCACTTCTGTATCACTTTAAGTTATTATGTACTCTGTTATTTTGTTATGCAGTTATTACATTTGGATATAGGTGGTTTTTCAATTTTTCTTTTTTATTTTTCAAATTCTACATATAAATAAGAGTTTGTAATTATGGATGATTAGATGATTCATTTTTCTATCATCAATAAAATATTTTTTTTCTCACTAGACATCATTTTTCTTATCTATAAAAATTTGTTCACAATATTAGAGTTATAAGGTCCACAGAAAATAAAATCAAAATTTGTAAGATTTTAGAGTTATTGAGATTAACATATTTGAAAAAATTAAAGAATAATAGAGATAAGAGAAAATAACATAGAAGCTAAACTAAGATTTGGAATTATACCAAGAATGAGAGCCACTAGTAATACAAATTCTCCATATCTGCATTCATCCGACAATCTAGGTATGTCATTAGTCTCTACCTTGTTGAATGAGGATAACTATCTTACGTAGAGCAGATCTATGAGATAGCATTAGGAACAAAACTCAAATTAGGTTTTATAAATGAGAAATATAAGAAACTAAATGACAAAAATACATAGTATGAGCAATGACAGAAGACAGATTTTTTGGTGCAGTCGTGAATTTTGAATTCAATTTCAAAAGATATAATATATGATTTCTTGTATACCACATATGCTAAAGATTTGTGGGATGAGTTCGCAGAAAGATTTGGAATCTATAATGGCTCTTTGTCATATCAAGTTCAAAGATAAATTAGATCAATTACACAATGCAATCAAACTGTTCCTCAATATTTTACGAAGCTCAAGAAGATATAGGATGAATTACAGTGTTTGATGCCTTTGTCACAGTGTACATGTGGAGCAGCAAGAGAAATAGCTTATCAAAATTCTTCAACCAAATTGATGCAATTCTTGATGGGGCTTAATGACAGTTACAATGGTGTACGAAATCAAATCCTGATGCTTGATCTATTACCTAATATCAACAAGGCTTATTCCATGGTATTAAGAGTTAAAAAGCAAAAAGAGGTACAAATAAGAATGAATGATGTCAAGTAATGCAACAATGTTGGTGCATAGTCAAAATTATAAAATATTGAATAAAGGAGGGCTTGTTGATAAAAGGCTTCCTGGTAAGCCTGATTTTCGTAAAGCTGATAAGTCAAAATTGTAGTGTACATACTGCCATTACTCAGAAACACAAAAGAAACTTGCTTCAAACTGCATGGGGTG